TAACCGCTATACTACCGCAGCGGACATCAGTACAACGTTGTAGATCATTCATTCATTGTAACGTATGTGTAACGTATTGTAAAGTATGAGGTATGCAATGTATTGTCGTTGTTTGGCGTAAGTTACTACTTGTGTTGTGGAACATAGTGTAATGTAGTGTTGTAGAACCGGGTGTGTTGTTGCTTTGCATATTAAAGTTTATTGTAGTGTATAGAGCGAAGCGTGATGTTGTTACATAACGAAGTGTATTGTAGCGTGTAAAACAAAGTGTGTTTTTCGTATGATGTACGTCATTACGCCTGTGGTATGCGTGACGTGCCCTTCCGGCTTGGACCACTTAGTGTCCGCAGTATGTATTAGATAAAAAAAATTGAAAATATATATACAAATGCTTTAAAAAACATTCCGCCATTTTCAGACTCACGGGCGAATTCAGGGGGGGGGGGGGGGGGGAGGAGTTTTCTGTATATCTCCAGAAAGACCGCATATATCGGTGTTCCCATGCATAAGCTGATCGCGCGGAATGCGGCGCACATGCATGCAGTTGCTGTTACGAGGAATATACGTGGACACTAAAGCCACGTACGTAAAGCTGCACGGATTGCGACCTTCTTGCGCTTCGATCCGCACGGGGGCCTTGGCACGCTACAGGGGCTTCCTTCCTCCTCGGTTATATACCGAGGGGGGGGGGGGGGCTTCTTTTCTCACTTTTCGGGCTGCGTGGCCAGAAAAGGAAACAGCCTCGAGCTACTTGGCACTGCTCTGCAGTGCGGCGACAAGCATCGCCGGTTTTGTGGTCGCATGGAAGATGAGCACTAAAAATAAGTATACAAAAAAAACGCAGATCCCATGTAGTTGTTTTTTTTTCTTTCTTTTTGCTTTGTGGGGCCTGGCATTGCCGCTTGTATGTACGACTCTCCTTAAAGGAGTACTGACACGACTTAAATATCTTCGGGTCGTTGCTATCAATAAAAACAAGGGCGTCGAGAACCCTAAAAAAATGATGTTGTAGTCCTACGGAACACACTGAATATACTTCTGAATTCACAAGTTGCAATCTCGATAGTCGATTCATTTCGTATGTTCTTAATAAAGAACGCGTGATGGCGTAATTAACAATAACAAAATTACAGCTTAATTCATCGGGTGAACTTATCGACGGTTCATCTCGAAACCGGCCCCTTACTGACACACCTTTGTTCGATCGATACTCGGAACTCACAATTGGTGCCCAGTAATTCAATCTCGCAGAATTTGCTAGCTCGGTTGATTCAACCAACCCCACGACCACTGCTTGATTTCTTCCAATAAACCTACTGATAGCGGCGTATGACCAGCAAATAACCCTCCCCCCCCCCCTCCCGAACCGAATTCTTTTGCCCACCACGGCATATAATGCACGAAATAACACTCGACCACATCCGCATGCCCAGTCCACATTTCTGATCAATGTGGTGTCACCCCTTCCCCCCCTCTCCCTCCCCGAAATAAATTTCTCCCTATGCCCCTGCTTTTAAGACATCGCACTTTTCAGGTGAGACCGAAGCCCAGCCCACACTTCATATCAATGTGGTGCCACCCCCCTCCTTCCCCCAAAAAAATTTCTCTCTTCGCCCCTGCTTCAAGACATAGCACTTTTCAGTTGAGACCGAAGACTTTCTCTCGAAGTTGGACAAGAGCTATTGCGGCTTTAGCCTACAAAACATATTAGATTTGTTACCTTGATACTACCAACCCCCCCCCCCCCCCTCACATTCTTCCCAGCATTAGAGGCCGTTTACAGGGATACGACTTGGACACCTTGAAAAACAGGCATTGGAAAGCTTTCATACATCAAATGGAACCGGCTTGCGTTGCGCAGGTCAGTGTGAATTGTCGATCGTTCAGGAGAGGACCTCTCTCGCTGAGTGGCCGTATAAGTAGGCCGATAGATGCGACGAATAACTGCGACAATGTACCCGTTGACTACGGAGCACTGTGCGAGTCTACAGGCAGTTCAATGCGTGTTTCCGACTGTTTTCTCGGACCCAAACTTTTCACGGGCACAGTTCCTGTCCTTCAATTGACTCCACAGTGCTGACGCAAGTGTGACTGGCAGTATTATGAAATGACATCACTGCGCAAAGAGAAGAAGAAAAAAAAAAGACTCACTATATAGTCACTTCCCAATTTTTCGCGTATTGCGAGATGTAATTTTCCGAGTGACTCCGTGTGAAATTCTGCTATGCATTTTTACAGAACTGGTGTGAAAGATCCACTACCCCTGCGCCTCGGTGTGGTTCGAGTAATTCAGCCTCGGCTATAGTTCTCGGGTGGTTAATTGAGCGACCGCCATGGAAATAAGGCGCTGATCCTGGGTTCAATAATAAGATGCAACGAACTTTCCCTCAAGTATGACATTTTTTTTTTTTTTTACGAGGAAGTCGCACCGTAACTTTCCGTTGTGCTTTCGGGTGTCTGACAGGTTTCGCCTGCATCGCGAAATATTCCAAAGTATTCTTACACCGTGCTTCCAACACAAAACGCTCTGGAATTTCCGTCGACTTTCAGTAGAAGCAGAGGCGCAGCGACATTTCAAGGGAACGATGAGAGAATAGAGGGCAGTCCGACGTCTTTGTGTGTATGCATCTATAAATATGTCACGGATATAAACTGAATATTTCCAGGGAGGCTCCCCTACACTTTTTCTCTCCAAGCATACGTTGAGTGGTCATGATGGAATACCAACAGAATAGTCTAACACAGTTATTCTTTCGCCACGCTACGTTTCAATGACCGCTAATACAGCAATACCTAAAACTGTCAACGCGAAGCTCCGAACGTTGATGTTCAAAGCGTCAAAACGGTCCCCGCAGGTACTAGAACAGCCAGTTCTCGAAAAATAAGTAGGGTATGCAATATTCCCATTCGAAAAATAACGCAATCGAGTGACTGTTGCTGCTTTCACCCGTTCTTCGAAGCAATCGTATACACGTTCTGAAGCCCTGAGCTCGCTTGCACATCATCTGCGGTAACACACGAGCCGATAAGATCGAACTTATTCACTTATACAACGAATTTCGGTTATAACGAATGCAGCTTCGATAATACCGAGAACCTAATGCACCCCCTTTACATAATCCCACTTGACGTTCACAAAACATGCACGTGGCAACTGCTGCGATCGATCGATGAATTACACGCCTACGCGAAAAAAAAAAAAAAAAAAGATCGGACACGGCAGGCAAGCGGTGGCAAAGAAAATCCCATCGCTTGGACGCCGTTTCGGAAAGCACATCCACACCGATTGAATACTAAGTGAAGGAATTCCGAAGGACGCTGCTGCCATCGCAACCGGCTTTGCGCCGATGCGTGCAGTCGAACATGCAATCGAATACGGGGCGAACGCACTCGAAAAGCGAACGCATCAAAAATACAATCGCGGGTTCGTCGTGCTTGAGCAGTGCCACTTTTTGCTACTTTATTTTGTTTACGTCGAAAGGGGAAAAAAACTTGTAGAGAACGTCCTCGCCAACCGGTGCGACGAGGAGATTCGTTTTTCTTGCTTTATGTCGCTAATCCTATTTAGGCAAAATGGACGATAAGTCAAGGTATTTGCGTACGCTACGCTATCACGTTGACAACCGCGGCATTACAACCATGAAGTCACGAACGCTCGTGTTACCACATTGTTTTGACACCGCACAGAGCGATACGAGAAACACGGCGCACTAGGTAGCACGAGTGCGGGAAAAAAAGAAAAAAAAAACAAAAATAAATGTGCTCTCGTGTTCAGCAACAACTGCGCGGCCCGAGACAGTAATTATCAAATAAGACATCGCCACAACTTTGCCTTGCGTTGCGTTATGATAAAACCGTTGTCTCAAACGCAGTCACCTGTTCGCGCGGTAGAAATATAAACCAGCTGTCACTCTGGTTTCACTTCAGCGTACAGCGGGCTGCGTATCGGGCACTGACATCCGCACCCCGATCCACGATACACATTCGCGGAGCAGCTCCAACAACAAACAGGCAAATGCTGTTTCTCCGAAAGTGAAAAAAAAAAAAAAAAAACAGCCCCACAGGCGAAGTGACTTGTTAGACGAAGCCGGAAAAGTGCCGTGTCCGAGTTAGGCCTACGGGCGTCGTCGGGTAAGACCCAGATGCGCGTGCAGCGTGTGGTCGACCGCGAAATCGAGAAAACGGTTCGCATCGACTCACCCGTCTCGTACCAATCCTGCGTTTCGTCGGCCGTCGAACTCGTGCTCGGAGCTCGCGATCTGGCGTCGCCGCTCTCGGGACCGTCCTTGTCGGATTTCATGATCGCATCCAGAGGCGAAAGCGGCTCACGGGTATCGGAAGGAAAACAGCGCGCCTTTCAGCGGCTGCAGTGTTGCGGCAGTGCTCGCTCGAGCGACTAACGATGGACGTGCGGGACGGTGCAGGATAAATTTCGACAGCCTTTCGTCGCTGCGGCCTGCCACTCGAATTGGCATATTGGCCGCCCAAGGCGATTCCGGCTTCACACGAAACAAAAGAAGGGCATAACTGGGGCGAATACGGCCGACAAACACACAATCACATTCGCGAGCAGACGGTTGCTACAATTTCTGATGCGTTTTGTTTTTGATTTCTTTCTGAGCACATTGTTGCCAAACGCTTAGCAATAGCATGCTAAGCGAACAAAAAAAGACATTACTTTTTCTTTTTATTTAACTACAACTACGCAAGCATACTCTTTTATCTCAGTTTTATTTTATACATAATAATTTAGTGCGCAATAAAGTAGTTTTTTTGTCAAACTAAAAAAAAACAAGTCTTTAGGGTTATGTTTTAATGTACTAAAACAAACTAAGATGCTACAAACACGTTTTTACGCAAATTTTAAATTCAATGCGAAATTGTTTCAATAATTTAACCAAATATTACATTGCAAAAAAAAACTTATTTTAGCGTTTGCTTTAGAGCTTGTAAGAGGGCGCTACAATTGGCTGCCTTCAATCCCACAGTGCCTTGCGAAGTTTTGTTGTCCGCCATTGTTGCAAAAACATTTTTTGTATTAGCGCTTCACAAGTGTGGGTAAAAGCAGCGATTTTGCGGACCGCGGCGGTGGATCCCTTCTCGAACGAGCAAGCCGCAGACATCCAGCGTTAACCATGGCCGACAAGATCGACATGTCCTTGGACGACATCATCAAGATGAACCGCAGCCAATTCCGGACCACTCGAGGCCGTGGCAGAGGCCGCGGTCGAGGCGGCGTCGCTGGACGCGGCGGGGCACGTGGATTTGGAGGAGCCGTTCGAAGGGGCACACTCAGAGGACGCGCCCGTCAACAGCCCTATGCAAGGGTGAGCAAGCGACCAGCATGCTTACGAATATCAATCTACGAGTATATCAGTCCGCATCGCCCCGGCGCGCCAATGTGCTCATGTGCGTAGGCCTTTGTCAGCGAACCTATTTCAAGCTGCTTCGGTGGCAAGTTTTGCGCGCTGACTAATGTTGAGCTAGCTGGTTTTAAGATTCTGCGGCGCGACCCCCGTTTGCGTAGTCGTTGCGTGTGCTCTAAACGTGTTCCGTTTTGTGGCTGCTCATCTTTTTGCCGCCGAGTGCGCGCGCGGTGGGCTTTTTTCTCCGTGCGTCACGTCGGCGTTGCGGTGCGTTTTTTTCGCAATGGTGGCGCTACTCGTATTCATGGCGCGTAAGAAAAATCGCCCTGTAGCTTCTAAGATTATGTGTTATGTTGTAGTGTGTTGATAATTTAGTTCACGGGAGCGTGCCATCACAGTTGTTTTCGGTAGAGCGTAGTGGGCGCGGGCGCAGTGTAAACAGCTTCATCGAACACGGTTCATTTGGGCGTGTAGACGACGGCACAACGAAAAATGGAGGTCAAACGCCGTGCAAACCATAATCAATTTTGCCAGTCTTTTAAGAAGTTAGTTTACGTTGTTACGTCGATTTAGCAGTATGTTACAGAATTCCTTCTCAAATTATGCAGAAAAGTTCAAATTTTTAAGACTAATATACATCAAGTGAATCTCCAATCCTAAAAACATCCAAGTGTTCATTTTACACACACTGGAAAGCGGAGAGCGATTGTCGCCATTCATTTTGAGAATGGTTTTATTTGCACCTGGGAGGGCTGATATTGGACAAACGCATCCACTTTTGTAAGTAAATCTACCTAATCCTTCTGACAAAAGCAGCAGCAACCTTATTGAAGGCATGTAAGGTTTGGTCTGTCACCATAGAAACATTGATATATGCATCCTACGTGAACTTTATTGGTCATCTAGGTGCTGCGAACGAGAGCAATACTAGTTTTTTGGTAATCAGGCAAGTTCAACAAGTGTCGGCAAATATATTTGGTATGGGCAATGCTCAATAGTCATTGATGTTGGATTTTTGTTGCACGTTGCGAACTAGTCTGGCTGGTAACTTCAAAGAAACTCCCTTTTAACGACATCTTGGTGTCTGCAATGGGCACATTGCCATACGTTGTTGTGGAACACTTGCCGTCAGGGTTACAAGTGCCACTGACTAACACTTATAGGTTTGCAAACACATAAATACCAGATGAAAATCGTAGCTCGGTTATCAGGGCATCTGGCACGTTGTTGCAGGTCTGGTGCCTGCTAGCAGCAAGTTGTCTTTTTGCGCACATTGATTTCTTCTCATTCTTTCGATAATTAATATGATGCAGTTTAGAGTACGAATACCCTGCTTGTCTTGATTGCATGTTTGTTTTCACTTCGATGTTGTGACATTTATATCACAATTAAAATACCTTTAGAAAGAGTACAAATAACACTCCTTGTGCCTTCCTTGGCTTCATTGACTGTAGGCTATCATTGTCCTCAGCATGCATTCCTGTGAAATAGCCTTTACATGGGTGCAGTTGTTGTGGGAAGTAAGTGTGCTGGTTAATGAGCCATGCTTTTCGTGGCCATTTGCAGAGCTTCACACAAGCCAAAGAGCTTCCAGACCGGTGGCAACACGACATGTATGACGGAGTGGGCGGCCGACGTGCTGTGACTGGCGGCCTCGGAGGTGCTGGCATGGGCCCCTCCAAGCTGCTAGTCTCCAATCTGGACTACGGGGTGTCCGACGCTGACATCAAGGTGTGAATGTGCATTCCTCGAATTCATCGCTACCCTGTGTGTGCAGTCACTTCAGCAAATCATGATTTATTGGAAAATTAAAGTGTGTTTTTAAGGGCAGTGACAGAGTGCGCTGATGCTTGTGCAAAATGAGAAAGAAGCTTTCTTACCCACACAAATGATGACTTTATTACGATTACTTCTCCTTTTGCACAGTCAGACTCACTGAGCAAAAGTTATAACACAGTGCCACAAAACTGAACAGTAACAAGAGCAAACATTAAATTGGTTTAAGGAATACCAGTTACTGAAATAGCGTTTACTGCTCTGCCATGCAGTGGTGGCACCAGTGTGAGCTCAGATGACATGTTGCAACTCATATTGGGTGCGGTTGTACACAAGAACATAATTATTATTCGCATATCTTTTCACAATACTCCGAAAGACCTATCAAATATTGACTGTGAGCGGGCCCACTCTCTGCATCCTAATACGGCGTAGTGTTGATCGATACTTGACCAGCATGGCTACCCTTGAGCACATCGGTTGATTTACTCTTAATGCTTTGCAAAAGGCTTTTCATGTCATTGTAATCAACCACAATGTGTTACTGCATTCATGCACACAGTATTGGTCGCCATGCTGATTATGGATTGACACTTGCAGGAGTTGTTCGCTGAGTTTGGACCTCTGAGGAAGGCGGCTGTGCATTACGACCGTTCGGGCCGTTCGCTGGGCACTGCAGATGTTGTCTTCGAACGACGCACAGACGCCGTTCGGGCAATGAAGCAGTACAACGGCGTGCCACTCGATGGTAAGTGAGACTGCGTGTTGTTTGTTGATCACTAACACAGATGTGTGCTACATAGTCTTCAACGTAAATCATTTCATTGAAAATCTTGTCACTTACAATATGAACCTGGTGCTCACTTGCGAACGGGATTGATACACTCTGTGTGTTCAGTGGGTGCGACTCATGGTGTTGGTATCCAGACCCCAAGATCAATCCTGACTATTGTGGTGGCCAATTAAATAACTTCAGGTGGCCAATATTAATTTTAGTACAGAGTACCTTTTAATAAAATAATGGTTCTCACATGTAATACTTTAGACGTTGCACTTTCCATTGAGGATGTTTAGTCTTGAGAGCATGCTGTACATCAACCAAGCCTTTCCGGCATACACTGCTGATGGCTTGATTGGCATTGTTAAGGCTTTTTGTATTGCTATGCCTGAGTAAGGCTTACGCGAGTCCGTGTGAGCTGTAGCAGTGGTTTCCTGGCATCGATTTGTGTTGTGAAGACGGTGGTGGTGTTTTTAATGTTTCGGTGTGTGTTTCAATGCAGGCCGACCCATGAACATCCAGCTGGTCACTTCAGCAGTCGGTGCCGCTGCACTCTCTCCGGCGTCACGGCTCGGCTATGCAGCCACAGGAGGCGGTGGAGCAGCTTCACAGCGTCCTCGTGGAGGTTTCCGGTACGTGTATCGTTGCATTGTCCCGAAGTTAGGCATGTTGGTGTGCATGTTTGATTGGATACACAGTTACTTTGTAATGTCAAGCACCATGGTGAAGACTATTGCAAGAATAATAAAGGGAAATTAGACATCCACCTGTTTGTGGCATGAAGCCATGTGGAAATCCATACTGATTTCCCATGGGCCACGGTGGGCTCTGCCTAAGGCTCATTTGCATTACTTGTGTCCATGTGCTTCGAGTTGTCGATGTATTCGCCTTTAAGCTTCCAATCGGTAGAGCGCCCCCTAAAAGACGTTGGTCCTGGTTCAAACTAAGAGGCTTTTCTTTCCAAGAAATCTGTATGGATTTCCTTGTGGCTTCGTGCCACAAACCGGTGGTTGTGTAACTTGCATTAATCGCAAGAATGATTTTACCGTGACATTTGTTTGGGAAAGATAACAATAAAAGTTTCTTGGTTTGTTCGCTCCTCAAATGATCGTGTGTCACCGACCCTTAATTCAGACTTGACTGGAATCGCCAAAAAGCTTGAATAATGAAGCCCAAATGTTAGACTTTCTCAGTTTGCAAGTGTAGTCACGTTCACGCAACCAGCTTAGCTTAGCCCGTGCCTGACCATCATTACTTTGATACCAGGCCATTGTTAGTGCATGCAGTCATCCAGTTTCTGACCATTTTTACATTGAAATGACACCATTGTTGGTGGATGTAGTATATTTGCAGTTGATGGCTGTGTGGCGGCAGGAGTGGCATTGTTCGTATCGTTACACATGGCTACATTCCAGCTGCCGATCTGGCTGACAATCTCCTTTTCGTGCAACTTTATACGTAAAGAATAATTAGTGCTTTCTTTGCCATTGCAAAAGTCTCATAACTGCTATGACTGGGCTATTTTGTTCAACATTATACGATAAGATTGTATGGCAGCAGATGAGGGCTTACACTGTAACACTAGGAGAGCAGGGCTCTAGTGTAGCAAGTGATTAGGCCTGGCTCAAGCAAAAAAAAAAATGTCGGGATTACTTGGTCAGCTTCCCATAGCATTGCGCATGAGCCTGAATTATCAATTGTGGTAATGTATTACATAAGTAGTAGGAGTGGTATTTCTGCAAAAGTGTCCTGAGAAATGTCTAATTAATGGTAGGTGACTAGGTCCAGCACTTGACATTGCAGGCTTGCATAGGTGGAGCACAGTAACCAGTAACCAGGGCCCATCTGAATTGGGCTAGATTAGGCTCGATCTGAATCGGGCACTGCTCAATCACAATCGGACACGATTGGGATCAAGACTGTTGCAATCTGCCTGCCAGATTGCAGTTTGAGAGGTCTGTTTTAATGTCAATCCGGGTCGGGTTAAACCTAGTTGCAGCGACGACTGTAAATCGCATGCAAGAAATCCGGTCTGAATTTGCCATAATCGTGATCCGAAGTGTCCGTGTGACACGGGTATCAAAATGGCACCTAGTTATTTGTTTGTAATGTTGCATTGTACCTGCACCACTATGAGCTGGGTCAAAGTGGTGCAGACGAATCGAGATGACCTATTTTTAATTTTAAACCCATTCTCAACTGCATTCCATTTTGCAGGGGTCGTGGCAGGGGCAGAGGCGGCCGAGGGGGCAACGTCCAACGCAAGGTTCCGACCGCGGAAGAACTGGACGCAGAGCTCGACGCATACGTAAACAAGATGGAGTAGAGAGGCACCCTTCCTCGAAGCACATCCCGATCCTTGCGTCATGACGACCATTTCGTGTGCTTAGTCGAAGAGCTGGACTTTCATCTTTTTGTTTTGCGGCTCACTCATCGTGCAAGGAGTTTAATAGCATTCTTTGAAAAGGCAGCATGACGAGTGACTGAAGTGCAGTTGTGTAGTTGCCGTGGAGACACATCATCGCCTCCGTTAGGCAGAATTGCGCTTTGTTTACTTCTCGTGCTCCCAGCGAGTTAGATGGCGACCCACCAATCCTGGACTTCAGAGATGAAAAGTGACTGCCTACAGTGGCAGTTTTTGTTTGTTTGTTTTATGTAAAGAAAAACAAAGCTTGTTCTATTTCATAACTTCATGTGTATCACCTCATAGTGTCATTAATCTGAAGCAGCCATCAATGGACACTTCTCATTGATCATGTGTGCAGTATAGTGTGGGGGAATTCTTGAAGCTGTGCACGCACAACAATGAATTTTTACCTTTTGAAGTTCATTAGACCTCGTTTCCTCTGTGAGCCTTCAAGAAATAAATTTTTTTCTGAAGATTACAAGCTTTGCACATTCTTCCAACAGCTAAATACAGTGCAATAAACTAGGCTAGTGCAAATAGAAAGTCCTGGGTTCGCAGCGAATATTAATTTGATCAAATAATTTTTAATAGAATATACAACACATTATAAAGAGACGTGTATATTTTTCATGACCCAACTAACCTGCACCGTAATTCTTCTTAAGTTTTGGAACAAAGTATGTTCCAAATGTCATTCTTTTTGGTTCAAAAGAAGTGGAAGCAATTCGGAACTGTACTAGGATTTGACTTTCGATAGAATTCGAGTGATGACCTACAAGATGTAAAGTTTAAATATTCACTGTAATCGGCACATATAAACCGTTATAACAAGCCTTTAAACCTATAATGTCTGGGTAATAATCCATTTAACTTTGATATGGGGCTTTGCAGCAGTGCAGATTTGTCAACGCCGTTGCAGGGAGCCAATGTACATATTAATATACACCCATTCGAACATTTGAAATGCTTTGATATCTTCATGAAGGGCTTTGTAGCAGTCCGGATTTCTAGATACCACCTTTACGGGGAGCTAACATACATATTAATTTACATCCATTTGAATATTTCAAATGCTTTGAAATTTACAATAATTTAAATCAAAAGTGAATTCGAATATTTGTGCAAGTTTATAACTTATTGTTTTGTTTGCACTGCAACCAAACCAAGCCATAAAAAGTGCAAGTATAGGAAATGGAAGTCTGAATATCATACAGGTTTAGATGTATGCATACACTGCATGAGAAAAATATTCAGAGCAGTGGGATTCTACTCGGTTGCTATATTCCATTTCTGGAAGTAGAAAGTACCGGAAGGGACATTTTCGCAACTGTTGACACTGGTAGTTCTGCAAGAGTAGAGTAAGTAAGTACCGTAGTGTGCGGAATGCACAATCATCGCATTCTTTAGAGGGCCAGTCAAAAGGCTCCGACTTTTTCTTTACACCCACAAACAAGCTCGGTAATTCGTAGAGTAGACCGCAGCGATCACGTTTTCTCATTATTACAGAGAAGTGCGCCGCACAGAGCCTCCATTTCAAAAAACAATTCCTGCGCTTTTTTCCTATGCCTGACCAATGCTCCCTGCATGCGCATTGACAACTCGGCAACGTGACGCAGCACGCGGCTCGTCGATTGGTCTAAACCAGGTCTCAACTAACAGTAGTGGAGTCGACGACAGTTTCTGTTCCAACCCACAGCTACGACAGAGCTACTATTCAATTGTATGAGTTGCGAAACTCCCTATAGGCTCCACGCATCAAAATCGGGACACTTCACTGACCCAGTTTCTGGGAGTGAGCGGATTGTCGCACCACCTATTGATCAGCACACCCACTAATAGGCGAATTAATTGTGTTTTGTGCTGCTGCTTCGAGATGACGCAACAGTCTGCTCCCAAAAAAAAATTGAACTTCAAAAAAATCGGGCCCACTTCATGTCCGGGTTGTGGAACGCAGTTTTGCTGCAAATCGTCGGCTGCAAATTGAGTGACTGGGCTGCGGAGAAGCATTGGAACCGGATAAACAGTAAACAACCAGGCATCGCAGCGAGCAGAAGTGCGTTGCGACTGATTGAGTTTGCCAATGACATCAATCACCGATGTTGCATTGCCGAAGTGGGTGCAGTCACGACAGCAAGCCACACCTTCCCCTCCCTCTGAAGGAGAAGGGTAGCGAGGCCGCGCAAAAATTTGAAAACAGCTGATCGCAATGTGTTCTAGCCCCTGTACCTTCCTTATTATTGCACGTTCATAAAATTCTTGCGGCAGCATGTTCACGAAGTAAAAGTGCACATATTTCCCTCTACAACAATTTTTGGACCTTGGGGTTGTTTAGTGGCCCTTTAAAGTACAAAGACATAAATATTGCATTGTGTGTAGCTGCTGGAAAGTTGGTTCGCAGTGGTTACTTGCCGACTTTTTCCTGAGTCTATTGGAGCGTGGTTTTTGGTAAACTCATTGCGCACAAGTACAAACAATAGTGCTATGCGAAGCATCACAAGCGCCGTGTTGACAGAAGTGGCCGTGTTGACAGAAGTGATATGCCTGCAAGAAGCATATCAGCTAACGCAAACTTTGGAAAATTGGTGCTTGTTCGTCTTGCATTGAAATAGACGTTGCAAGGTTTATTTTGAAATGACCATGAAAGGCGACAGTATCGCCTTTGGTGGCATAGAATGTGATCTGTCAAGTAATCGGCCGGTGTTGCATCACTGATATGTTCGTTATTGGTTCGCGAATGACTGACAGCACAGCAGTGAGGCTACTGCAAGAGCACAGCGCAACCCGAGTGCAGAGTTTTCCAGCGTATGCTGGCTTCAACGCAATGGCCAGGCTTGGCTGTAGGTTCTTGATTCATACAAACGCATTGAAAGTCTTCTCAACGTGTCTTGTGTAATTATTTAAAGCACAGTCTAATACTTGAAGAATGCCTCTTCGTGAGAGTACACAGAGTTGGCTGAAGTGTGCCACCTCAGTGACATCGCGTCAACATGTTGCCTGTGTGTGATGCATGTTGCAATGCAAAGTTTGTCTTCCTGGAACGTTCAAACCTCAAAAAAAAATAAAACATGCACTGGCTTAATAATGAGCATTGAAAACGCAACGAGCTAATGTTTGCTGAAAGCTTCAGAGTAAAAAAGCTACGTACATCAACCAAGGCTCAAATATTGGAAGCAACATTCTGGCCGCTGACATGCAGTCTTCACCACGAATTGACAGTGACACGGTGTGTTTTGTTCCAAGCACGTTGGGAGCACCGTGGGCCGGCATCGTGTCGATAGAAATACTAGATGGACCCTGCCCTCTTCTGGTTTTGCTCAACTGCCTATCGACATGCACCAAAAATGACACTTTTGTAATTGCCGTCATCTGCAAACATGTCACAATACAGCCCCAGTTATACAACACGCACTTTCAAATGGGCAATATGTATTTTCTAGCCTAGAGTAGTTGGTGTTTCACAGGTGTGTGTGTGTGTGTGTGTGGGTGCGGACTAATCTGTCTCACTAGTTATGTCGTCATCACAAATTCGTGTCGGGAATCTTTTTAAAGAACTACCGAGAAGCGAATTGGCCCATGTTATTACTCTTCCACAATACCAAAATCATAGCACTTTACACAGGAGGACACTCGATAAGCGAGGAAACACAAATGGTAACACCACCTCAAAACTCTTGCATCGAATGTCACGATGTCATACATTTTGATGACATCTGGTTGTTCCTATGGGGAAGTCCTCTGCAGAGGCCTACACTTGACATACTAAGCTTCTGGAAATTTCTTTAAGCCATTATTGTCAAAATACGAGAAATTCTCTTTGAAATCTTCACACCACGTGCAGCGATTCTGGCAAAAAATTTAATGAAACTTTGGCCTTGATTTCCTCTCCTATTAATAAACCTAAAACTGTAAAATTAACGTCACTAGAGTTCTTACAGCAGAACCTATCGACACAGACTGCTCACACCTGTCGAAAACGTGCAAGCACGTAAGCAGAAGCGTAGAGAATCAGCCTGCATGTCGTGCGTCTCAAGAGGGCAGCACTTCTGATTGGATTCAAGTTCACACGTAGAAGTGCACTTGTAACTTAATTGTGTATGGCATGACACATTGACTTGACCCAATGCACAACATTCAGAACCATTGGTGTCAGCAGGGGTTTGCAAAAGGGTCACTTGTTCCCTAACACGCAGGAAGAAACATTTGGGAGGTGCAACGCTGCTCTTTGAGGAGAACAGATAATGTCACATTAGCCAAAGAGCTAATTCATGCTGGCGGTGTGTTGTGGCGCCTAAAGGAATTGCTGCTGTTTCAATTTCGGAGCAATCGGTCACGCCCATCGCTCGCACTCCGCCGCAAGCACAGCAAGGGGACGCAGAGCGCATTCGGCCACACTCGGCCCGCAACGTTTCCTCATCTTTTTTTCGTGATTACTGCTTTGTGCCACCTACTGAAATGTCTGCGTCGGAGCTTGCTATCTTTGTATTTTATGCGATGTTATCTGGACACCTACCGAAACCCGTTTTAACGGGCTTCACCTAAATATTTCTTTCTCTATGCTTCCCACGCAAGCTAAACAACACTCCACCATTCCCCCAGCTGCGATGCAAGACAGATTTGTCCCCCCCCCCATGCCGACACTTGTGTTCAGAAGCACCACTAAAATCCATCGTAAGAAATCAGCGTGGGTATATGAGAGAATAAGAAAGACTCGTATACCCGTGTAGTCCATGCCAACAAGCTCAAGTTTTTAACCTTTTACACCGCTCAAGTAGCGGTGTAAAAGTCTCAAGTAGCGGTGAAATCCATTAGCTACGGTGTACAAAGAGTGGGTAAAGACGTTCCTGTGCTTGAGTTTGGTGCCAAAAATAAGTAAGCACAGGGCAGGTTCTGAAAAATGCTGAACATATCTGAGAATATTGAGTACTGTGCAGTGTCGCAATCGAAGATGACGAATCCTGTTGGGTAAGCCGTCTAGCATGGTTTTCAAGGATGGTGTTTCTGGATCTCAGTGAGTGAGACACAATTTTTAAAAGTTTAAAGGTTGGATAGTTCTTTTTTTTGTATGTGTGTTTTTGAAAAACTTGTAATACTGTATGTTTAGACAGCTGGCTCACAGAAACAAAATGAGCAGCACCTAGCAGCTCAATGATAACTGCAGTGTCAACCGAGCAGTGCATATGGGACAAATGCATTGAAATTGCTTTAATAAACAGTGTAACTTAGCCACCAATGCTGGTATTGCATGCATATAATGAAATGAACGCATTCAAAAACAGTCTATCAAATTTGTTCATTAACAATTTCCGGAATTTTACTCGCCAACAGAAATAATGCAGTATATAATAATAATCCATCTCTTGACTGGAGTAAAAAATATTGTTGCTTGACTTTCATAGTTAGGTTAATAAAAAACTCTCACTCGATTCAGCAGCTAAGTCCATTATTACGAGGCCTACTGACCAGTATCACCTAAATGCTCTAACCACCTATTTTGCCCAAGTAGCCTATTCAAATACGTTTTTTTTTTTCATGCACCTTTAATCATTGGGACAACTTATCTCTGTAACACTCCATTACTTTACTTTTTACACTTGCACAAAATGAGGAGTAATACATGTTTTACGATTTTTCCAGTCATATGCTCAGAACTGTAGTGTTCAACTTGGAAGATTCTTTACCTATAGTGTTCTACCCACTCAGCAAGAATATTTTGTCCTCAGTGTGTATTGAAAAAGAAAAAAAAATCCACCATAGGGGTAGAAGTGGAATGTAAATATTTTTGGTTTTGCTAAATCAATTGATTCCTCAGCCACAATTATCATAAAAAACCTGCGCGTTCATAAGAATGCAGTTTAAAAGATGATAAAACAGCTACGACTGAGTATGGGTATGGGGCAGACCCAAAGACCCCTTAGATTACCAGAGAGTGGGTCACCCCATCTAAGTGTGCCTATACTTGAAAATGCTACCATAAAAAAATATTAGTCCTGAAAGCTAAATAAAAAAGCAATTCATGACAATATTTATACTAGCAAGGTCACGCAACACTCCATTTTCTTGTCATTTGCATTCGATCTTGTTGACCTAATTAAACACTCTTTCCTTACTCTGTCAAAGACACAGAAGTGCTCTACATCTCTACCTAAAAAAAGAAAATTTCTTTACGTATATTTCTATTTAATACATCTCTAAGCTGACACCATTGTAGCAATTTTCATGAAGTTGGTCTGTTATTCAGTAAATACAATCAATTTGGGAGCAGCGCGTAGTGTACGGTTGACAATTCACATGTGTACATGATAGTAACTGAACTTCCCAGGGTGTCTTAAGTGCCACTGTTTTTCCTGGTGATTAATTATTACCATGGACAAATGCTTCATTGACTCCTTCAAAAAAAAGTAAACTAGCATATATTGTTCCTGTCAAATCCATTATATGTTAGTTCAATTTCTGATTCTCCGGAAAAGTGGATTTTTTTAAAACTTCAAAGCACATATTGACAATGTCCAACTTCAAACAGGCAAAACAGATGGTACCCAATATTTCAGCTGCCAGTAGTTTCCCACAATCATGAAAACACATTTCAAAAGCCATATTTTTCGCTAAGAGCAGCCGTTGGGAGTACCATGACCATCATATTTTCAAGCGGTACTGACACCAATTTTATATATATTTTTGGGTTGTTGCTCTAAATAACTAATAAAGTTAGTTTTCAGAACCATCATGAAATGCACAAGCTTTGAGAACTCTAAACAGACTGTTAAAGGCTTGGTAATACAATTAATACATTAATACTGCCACATTAAAACAGCAATTTTGGTTTCTGTATCAAGGAGCTGCTTCGCAGTGATGTGTCAACACGTCTTGTCATGAAAAAACTGCGGCTGTGAACTACTAGACACAGCTTTCAGTTAGCTGTCAATCGCACAAAGCCATAGGCATTGGCAGGGGAGTGCAAAAGGGGCAACTCCTTCCCCCCCCCCCCCCCCAAAGGCACACCAGCGCTACACTGGTGCTCTCCCCTTCTGCCAGCCACAGTACAACACAGGTTTGTACCCCCTAAGAGAAAATCCTGCCAACAACCATGTGCAAGGCTATTGTACACAACAAGTGAATTGTTGTTCAGAGACACTGATAGTGACTTCTGTGATTTAGGCTGCCTCAAGGACACAAACTTCACAAACCCAGCAAACTGTGTTCACTTGTCATGATAATATCGATTCCAGTTGAATTGGCTTGCACTTTCTAGGACCGAAAACTGAATATAAGTAAAATATTTCATATGTATGGCTCCTGTGTCTGAAAAGTATTAACAGTGCACACCACACCATGGAAAAACTACCCCGTTTGGAGAGCCTTCAAAACGTGTTATTACTGCTTTAACACCGCCTACATGCCTTCAATACTTGTGATTATGCACGCTACCAGACATGAATGGCTTTGGGGCGTAACACCAACTATGGCTGAACACTCCTAAATAATGTTGATCTACTCAAAGTGCTGCAACGATCTTGGTGGGCAGATCTTAATGCCCTGTTCAGCGTCTGCACACTTTTTTCCTCCCCGTGATTGCGTCAACAAACACGGTGAACAATGAAAGTGACCGTGGAGAGTATGAAAAAAGGCCGAGGAGGAAGACAGTGCTGCAAGAGACCGAGCGCCACAGTACTCTCGATTCATTTGGTCACTGACACAAATCATGTGGTTTCACTTGTATCCACCCATTTATCAGACCGCAACACTAGCTTTATGAATTGATTGATATGTGGGGCTTAACGTCCCAAAACCACCATATAATGAGAGACACCGTAGTGGAGGGCTCCGGAAATTTCGACCACCTGGGGTTCTTTAACGTGCACCCAAATCTGAGCACACGGGCCAACAACATTTCAGCCTCCATCGAAAATGCAGCCGCCGCAGCCAGGATTCAATCCCGCGAGCTGCGGGTCAGCAGCCGAGTACCTTAGCCACTAGACCACCACGGCGGGGCTCGCTTTATGAAAGGACCAGTAAACAGCCCCGAGGTCCAAAAATTTTTGTTAAGTGAAATATGTGCACTGTTGCTTTGTGAGCAGGCTGTTGCAAGAATTTTGTGAATATGTGCTATAATAAGGAAGTTAAAGGGGTCACAACATCGGTTTCAGTTAATTTCAAATTTTCGGAATGCCTTACCACCCTTCGTCACGACTGGTTTAGACTAATCGAAGTGCTGCGTGCTACATTGAGGCTCTGATCGGCGACTTCGTGTCACTGCGTGTGGAAAAATTGGTCAGGTGTAGGAAATGAGTGCAGAAGTCGTTTTAGGAAATTGAGCCTCTGGGCGGCGCTGTAATATTAGGAAAATGTGATCACTGTGGTCCACTCTACGAATTGCCGTGTTTCTCTAAAAGGTGTAAAAAAAAAGTGGGAGCCTGTTCACTGGCCCTTTAACAAGAAATGGAGAAAAAGTATATGTATGTAGAAATGAAAAATTTGTAACTGTATGTACATTCATGTCTCTAAAATTTCTAGGCTGAATATATCGCGAACTGAAGATGCAGAGCTGTGCTCAAATTTCGTATTGGGGAGTATTGTAATCGTCAGCAAGTACATTTTCTTTAACCCGATAGCGTTAAAGAGCTCGTTTTGCAGAAATTACGGCATGGGTGTCTGCTTTGACGCTGGCATCATTGGTTGTGAGCGAAAAATAATCTTATGCATGGCCGAAAAATCAGGAACGATGCAAATAAAATAAATAAACGCTAAAAAGTCCTGGATCAGAGTGGGGACTGAACCAGGAATGTTTGGGCCGGCGCAGGAATCAAACCCGGGTCGTTTGCGTGGCAAGCGGATGTTCTACCACACGGCCATGCCTTTGCTTGTGAAAACAGCTTTCCCTGCTTGGAAATGCTGTGAAAGTAGGTTGCATACTTTACAAACGTGTCTTGTATATGCGCTTCATAATTTCACATGAAATATTTCAGTAATAATGCGTGGTACAAGCATCCATTGCCGACCGCGTCAGAATATGCGATTATCATATCGGCTCCGTAAACCAATGCGGTACCGCACTACAAAAGGCACACACGCTACTGCGCCTATTCCCTTAAGGCCACCTATAGTGGGTGCATAGCAAATTCGGGAAGGTTTCATGCACTAAGTGTTTGAAATACGCATTAGGAACTGGATGTCGCTATCGCGTTGAACACCTAAAGGCGATGCTTTAGGGTATCCTGATTCTTTCTCAACCGCAACAAAACCAAAGAAACAAGTGAGCTCTGCACAAAAAACTCAATCACAAGCAGTTTTTATTTGGCTTTGAAAAAAGCAGTGCACACTTTCCCATCAAACCAAAACTCATCACACTGCAGTGGTTGAACAAGATGGATGGTAGAAAACTCCAGAATTGTCGAATAGGCACAATGCCTTGTGGTTTTATGTTGAGACTCGGGTACAACCAGTAAGACACAGAAAAATACCATAAACCTGGTTGTAAGCATTTCACTACTGCTTACGGTCAACCGCCACACCATGTTGCTAATAGTGACGATCTCGAGCAATTGCTCTCATCAAGACAATAGGTTTCCCATCATCGAAACAGGATGGCATTTGAACTAAGCTGCAATACATTACAATGTTGCCAATAGTCACGATCTCGAACAATTGCTCTCATAGAGAAAATAGGTTTCCCATCATTGAAACCGGATGGCATTTGAACTAAGCTGTGATATATTAAGCACAATACCACCCAATTCTTTAACCCCTACCATAGCAACAAGTGAACAGCTCCTGAACTAACAGGCAAACCCTCACTGAATAAAACAGCCAAGCAGACAGTGCCGCGGCTAGCATGCACATTCAGGCAACACCTGCCCCACTTTATACAAAACACTGGCATTCTTACACAACTCGGGAGCTCTCAAAGGCAAGTCTGTGTTTTCTGCTATGCATTACCTAGCATCGCTTGCACTGAAATCACAGACAAAGCAAAGGACTCCCATTCCTGAGGATGCTTTGGGAAGGTAATGCAAATTAAGTTTATATTAAGCAAAGAAGGCCACAATGCACTTTTTCATGATGTAAACACAGCTTCGCATCAGTCATGAACTAGAAAAATTAAAATCCAAAAATCACAACACAGACCAGTGAGCATTTTTCGACAAATCATTCTCTTCGTGATTTTTTATTATTTTTTTTTTGCCAATGGAACATCTGCGCATGGGATATTTCACATTCCAACTGTGGCCAACAAGGAAAAACTCCAAGCGTGCCATAAGAACACCTCACGTGTCGCAGTCGTCGAACTGTCCGTGGACAGCTTGAAACTGTGGAGGCCTCCGACGCACTGTAGGAGCGTGGAGGTCGGAGGGAACAAACACTTTCTTTCCATAAAGGTATGCCTTATGAGGCACTGCAAAGCAAGAAATTGGCACAATAAGATGTAGGTGTGCTGAAGTGAGACACTAAAATCAGTTTTAAGTCTGCTGGGCTCATATCAGGGTTGCACCAGCCATGATCTGAGCCTGGCAAACTTCTTCCCATTTCCCAAATACAAAAGAACACAAAAAGTCTTTTTTTTTATGGTTTTCCTGATAGGTCAGGACAGCCGAATTTCAGGGAGCCTTTCTGATGTCAGTATCTCGTCGTAATTGGTGCATTCACGCCCAAAGACTCTACATTAAATAATTTAAGTACCATGCACAACTAACGATCAAATCGATAAGTTCGTTTTGCCAGACCTGGTTTTGTTACTTTACGTACAGACTCTATATTTTAAAGCCTAGTCAGTTCTCAATGTTTTAGGCAGCAGAGAAAAGGTCGCTCCTACATTAGGCAGCCCAGCAACATGTTTCGCACACATTAAAAAAACATTAACGACGTGCAATCGAGAATTCTGTGAACATGCAAGTCAAGTACATTAGCGTACAGCAGACAGCTAGGAATTCACACTGTATGTCAAAAACAATCACAAGTCACTAGATCTATACATCATAACATCATTCCAGCTACGATTTGAGTGGGCTCAATAATGTAGCAAGTGGGTGCCCCAGGCATTGGCTTATTTGGCCACAGTGGCATATTCCAAACATAACTACACTCGGTGACAACTTTCTTTGTTGACAACGCCGTGGAAGCTACAAAACTAAAGCGCATCCCTGCTACTATGCCAAAAAATATTACTTAAGTCTACTGATAATTTTCTCATTTTCTTAGCTGAAATAAATGCTGCCTTATTTATTAATTGACTCAGACAGTGGCAGGAAGTCATAGGTAAAATCCAGCTATTGTTAACTTTGCAAGAATGCCTTTATTTTCTTCCCATCAGCACTGTGTGTGGAGTTGCCACTCGGGAATCAAAGTCACTCTGGAATCATTCCACATTTTCGCGACCCCAGAATGAAGCGGGGACAATGCTTGGAGGAATAGAATGTAATAAAATTAAGAACATTTTGCCTGGAACAAAATGAGCATAAAATTGCAATTTTTTTTTTTCAAAAATAAAGCACGTTTCCATGCACATGATGTTTTTTAAACTTCAACCATTAGTAAATCAGCGCCTTGAATGCAACATTGAAGCAGCATATTTATAATGGCTTGGCTGCCTACAAGCACGGTACATCTATACGCAACGTGCCTACTACAACTCTCTCCTTACATCGACCGTGTTCCTCCAAAGTATGTCTTTATTCTTCGCGTAACTGCAGTCGAGCGGAACTACTGCGACAGCATTCCCCTCCGCTCCTTTAATTGACACCTTGTGATGTTTTTTTTCCCTTCTGCGGTGCTCCAACCACCTGCTGTTTCCTTATCCTTCACTTCTTTGCCCTATGTCCCCGTCGTCGACACGGATGCACATTCGAAACAACACTTCTCGAAGTTGCGGTACGTATTAACGCTGGCTCGATGCTTTCGTATACCAGCTTGCACGCCCCGTCACATCATAATCACCCCCTCCCCGTTTTGTAGTACTGTCCCCCCTGTCTACACACATGGGCACCATCGCCCTAAACTCTGTCGGCGAAGGTCTGTAGGTCAGCGCAGCACACAGTCGTACACGATGAACTGTATGCGCTTCTCCTCCATACAGATAGAGAGAGAGAATAAACTTTTGAAACAAGGTGTGGGAGCGGGCTAGTAGGTATTCCACGTTTTTTACAACTCAAGCGAAAAAAGGTATACAATGGACTAAGGGGACACTTAGTCCGTTGTACATCTTTTTGCGCTTCAGCTGTAAAAAAACTTTTGAAATCATTTGTTCAGAGAACAGCCCAAAGCAGGAAAGCCCACGTAGCCACGGCCACAACGGTGCCTCCCCGAGTCCTGACGCGACGATTCGCGGTGAAGAAAACCCACGGTTGCTCTGTTCTAGGCTGGAGGAAGGATCGCGTGGAAAGCAACCACCATCGCGCCTGTCGGCGTCTAGAGAAGCACTACCATAACGTACTATCACACAGGCTCTTGCGTCCAGTGGTCCACGCTCGAGCAGCTCATGTTTGGGAAGCGCATCACATAGGTAGGCGGCAATGTTTTATAAAAGCAACCCTTTAAAAAACTGTCATTCACAATTCTGCTTTTAAAGACTAAATGGCAAAATGCCCATTTAGCTCATAACACTTCGTGGCAGAATTTCCATGAATAAAACCAAAATAACGCTTGTTTTTGCACCTTATCTGGCTTACGACCTTTATTGCAGATTTTAAAAATCACGAGGATGCTTAAGCACTTTTTATGACGTAAGCCTGGTTACCAAAGAACTAGTGACCAATCACCTAACATATTCGCAAGACGAGGTGTTGGGAAATCAAGTCCTGCAGATCAGGCATTCCTGAATCTCGAGCTGAGAGCTGGTCATTCCGCACTCCTACTGCTCCAGGGTGGGAACATTTCATGAACGTTTTTTTTTTTTTTTCAACTTCGCTCGGTTTCTACAACTCGGCATATATTCGTGTTCACATCGCTAAACAAAGAGGACATTGGGGAGGACCGTAATCTGCTACCCCCTTAGTACTGTAATACCACACTCAAATTAGTCATGGTGTAAGTACATGTTATATCGTAGTCAAAGGCACAACACATTCTCTAGGTCCATCTTTAGTTAGCCAAAGCCAAGGGTTGGTGTGGTGTAAAAGTGGAAACAATCTGCCAATTTGTAAAAGAAAACCGAGGTATAAGTTAGCGTACAATGCATTATTCCAACAGATACTGGAGGGAGAAACGAATCATCCCTGCAAGTTGGTTCCCACTGATACCCCACACGAAAGTGGCGAATACTTTAGGCACTGCCTGATCATTATCTCACGCAAAGTTTACTACCTGGCACAAGTAAATAATCTTTGCGACAAGGAAGACATTGCATATCTGCGTTTTGGGGAACACAGAAAGTTCTCCCCCCACCCACGCTTGCGAGGTGCTCTTGAAAAGCGTGAGTGCTGACGAGCACGTGTGGCTCAGCGTTTCATATTGCATGTAAAGGCACGAGGTGCGCGAGTGCTTGGGCACTGTTCCCACTAACACCAGCAGATATAGAGGGCTTCTTACCCCATTAGCAAAATTTTAGTAAATCTTTGTTTTCTCCATAGTCAGGCCTGCTCCATACGTGTGACAAAAACAGCTTAGTCTTCTTGAACGCTACTTTTGTCAGCATAAATATACACTATCTCGGCATTTTGGCATTACCACATTTAATCCTAAACATTATTAAGACATCACATTCATTCAAACATGCTCACTATGCAAATACTATATGTAGCGGCAGAACTGCACGAGATACGATACCAAGCTACTATCCCTCGGCCTTGGTAACGTGTTTTGCATACTTTTTTACAGTTCTTAATGCATCTAGTGCACCAGCTTTATGGGGGCGTTTATCATTCACTCAAAAAAACAATCAAGATGCATTTGCTACATTGAAGAATTGCAGTAATGGAATTCAACTGCCCAGCCATTTTCACAGTGGGAATGGGCTAAGTTCTTTCATTCCGGGGAATTAGCGCCAAGTCCGAATTCACCAGAATGGAATTGAAATGTCCAGTACTGCGCCCATTCCACAGCACTGGACAGCCCCACCTTTCCTGCACACCTGTTTGCTTCAAAGTAAACATGGCGTCCATGACGTAGTGGGAGTCTGGCCGCAAACGTACTGTTTAGTTCAAGAAATATGACCTTAAAATGTACACTCAACAGTCCAAATGTTTCTCTCATTCCTGTTTTTTGTGTATTAATTTTTGTCCCTGCGTGTAGTGATCAATACAGTCGAAGAAAACCCGAAATGCTCAAGGCCACAACACTAGGCAACGTCGGCAACTTTTCGGCGGCACACTGTCCTTTTGTCACACTATGCAGTTTCCAGCGTGCTCATGGTGTGGAAAGAGGAAGGCACTGCTTTGTGCAGCAACTCCAACACAGTACTCAAAGTATTGAAAAAAATTTTGCAGCACGACATGTGTGAAGCAACAGTAATGTGAATGAGCTTGTCTGGGTCATCCCACTTATAAAACAGCAAAGAATTTACTTTGGGAAACCTTAAAAAAGGTGCCCTTGATAGCTGCCCTTGATAGCAAAGGTTTCATGTGATTGCGTCACACATGCAAATAAACGAATACACTGACTAGCACATCAGAGGTGGTTGTGCGTAATTTCAAGTTTGGGGTCTAGTAAAACGACAGTCGGTTCACTTAAGCAAAGATCTCGGTTTTTTCATTTAAGGTAAACTTCTCAAACAAGTCTCGAAGAAGCTTTACTGGTCTTTCCTAGGATGGCTGTGCCCGAAAATGTAACATTACAACTGCATGTGCTGACATGCCACTCTGTGTGTGCCCTTGCATTCTTATCTTAAGGGCGGAGCTCCTCTTAGTCTACGCTTGTCCTGCATCAGGCGTATCCGATAGTATCATACAGACAGACGGATGCACGGATGGATGGATGGAAGCACAGACAAGTAGACGGACAAACGCACAGAAAGACAGACACACAGACAGACGGACAGATGCTTGGCCGCACTCATCATCATTCACTCCTTGAATATGCTGTGTTTTTGTTTTAGCATGTTGCTTTGATTGATCATTCACAAAACACTATACAAATATTGACATGGTGAATGTGGGAACACCAGCAAAACTATTTACAAATGTCTCTTGTAATGCAAATGAGTTCTGTCGAAACCCGCAAAGTGGCAGAAGGGTTAAGAAAGGGAAACAAGACAGTCACTCATTTTTACCACAAGGAAATCCATACTGATTTCTCGAAAAGAACAGCTTCTTAGTTGCTGAAAAATTTTTCGGTCCTGGACCAAGACAAATTTTTTGGCAACTAATAAGCTCTTCTTTCTAAGAAATCCATGTGTATATTCTTAAGGCTTTGAGCTACAAACAGGTGGTTGTCTATTTTCTCTTTCTTATGTCTCTTGTAAGCAAGTGCCTCATGTCACGAGATGTTACTGTACTGAAGCAAATAAGCGCCATAATAAAAAACATGCCTTAACTTGAAGCCACGACTTGACTTGGTCAAGTGAGCCTCAAGGTTATGCGTGACTTCAAGCTGAGCAAGATAGCCATTTCCTTTCACAGATGCGACAAGATTATGATGTCAATTTCAATACAACATCCTTTTTTTTGTAAAAAAATAAATAACACATACTAAGCCTAGCCAAAAAACCTTTGAAATGCTGTGTTATAGCCATTTACCTAGGTCATGCAAACACAAAATGTAGGGTAACCCAGCATTTGAAAAGTAGGCACTACGTCAAATCCAGCCCCTAGCAACTCAGCCAAGCAGTGAATTTCAAATAGCAAAAACAACAGCATCACTCTTTGTTTCTTTCCACAAACCATATTATGGAATGTGGCATCCCAGCTAGTTCCAGCAACTCGTCGTTGCTATGGCGTGCTTCTGAAGCTAATTGCAGGGACCAAGGTGCGAATTTCATGTCACTGTACACTTACATACAGTTTCTTTTATTGCGCAATGATAGCCACAGCACACTCAGCCAAGAGTGTGCGTCTCCTAATGTGGCATCACAGGTCTTGAACGCAAATTGAAGTTCTCTTTGCTATTCCACGAGGCTGTCTCTGTGTAGGTAGGCTCTATATCTCACGCACTGCTATGCTTTCGCTTCAAAGACCGATTCGAGACTGCTTACACCCAAATTTCGTTTTCAAGCTCATTTGAACGAGAGCTCGCAGCAAAGGCACCCTTTCAGTAGTGGATTTCTGAAACGCGTTTGTGTAGTCTTCTAGGTAGTAGCAAGTCAAGTTAAAGTCAAGTTGCATTTCTGAGTACAGAGGTAAAGCTCGTTGACATGTTCTGCAGCTACTGCAATTGAAGTCCCATTCTGTCATTTAACAAGTCAATATCCCATGGCCGTACCATGTTTACATCTTTGCGTATATTTTGAAGGACCAGTAAACAGGCTCCGACTTTTTTTTCTACATTCTCGATACAAGCTCGACAATTCGTAGATTAGACCGCAGTGATCGCGTTTTCTGAATATTAAAGCGCTGCGCACCGCGCAGAGCCTCTATTTCGAAAAACAATTCTAGTGCATCTTTCCTACGCCTGACCGACCCCCTTGCACATGCAGTGACGTCAACTCGGCGACGTGACTTAGCACGCAGCTCGCCGATTGGTCTAAATCAGGTGTGAAAAAACAGTAGTGAAGTCAACGTCAGTTTCTGTGCCAACCCACAGCTATGAAACTGCCCCTTGTTTCTTGGCACTGCGGTGAAAGAACCAGCCTCGCAGTTGTCGCGTACATGTGTACACTCCTCACTCAACTACAGCACTTGTGCGCACATACAAACGTACTTTGTTCTTGACATGAGCATTACCGGTAAAAAGCGTTGCTCTGTCGTCGGCTGCAAATCGAGCGACTGGGCAGTGGAGAAGAATTGGCACCAGGTGCCTCAGAATGGGGCCCTGCGCGCTGCATGGCTGAAGCGAACTGGCCATCCAGCGATGTACGTGGCCTCATCGTTTGTGGTTTACACTGGACACCTGACGCTTACACGGTTGACGCTCGGCTGGCGCGGAAAACGGTAAAAAAATAACCATGCTTCGCAGCAAGCGGAAGCGCGTTGCGACTGATCAAGTTCGCCGATGACGTTAATCGCTGACGTGGTGGTGTCACGTTGCCGAAGTGGGCGGAGTCACCACGATGGGCTACACCTTCCCCTTCATGGAAGGGAGAAGGGGAGCTAGGCCGCGCGAAAATTTGAAACCAGCTTAGACCGATGTTCTAACCCCTGTAAAGCCCTTAATATAGCACGTATTCGCAAAATTCTTGTGGCAGCATGTTCGCAAAGAAAAACTGCACACATATCTCTGTTTAAAAATTTTTGGACCTCAGCGCTATTTACTGGCCCTTTAAGGCATGAGGTCAAGTAGAAAAATCGAACCTTTTCCTCAAAATGTTGTTTCTTGGCTTTGGATGTGTTATATGCACAATTTATTTCCCGTCATTTTGCTGCATAATGTTGTCACCTACCCCATTTCTTTCAAAAGATACAGCCAAACCTCGTTAGTGCGTACCCACTTTAAGCGTACTAACGGTTGAAAGGCAGTAGTGACGAATCCCCGACCGAGTCTCACAGAGAATAATGCATTCGTACACTGCTTAAGCCGTAGTGTTCAGCTTATGACTACCGGTAAGTATGTACTAACTGTGTACGGCTATAACATTTCGTGCCACTAACTTTTACTGCGCCGCTGAACTTGCAGACACCACAATGTGGCGTGAACGGTTTTCCTGTCTAGTTGATAAGTGCGGAGATTAGCTGATAAGTTATTCCAACTTCCGCCCAATTACGGTAATTATATTGCAATTAATCATCGGGTAATAAACGAAGGCGAGGTTGCGACCACCGATAAACGGGCCAGTATGACTTATCGCCGGTGAATAGCCTTATAACAGTAAGCATCCCGTTACCCACGCAAGCACGCTTGTGGCGTAGCGTCACTTTAGGCCTACTGTACGCTTTTAGAAAGCAACTACCTGAATGCGCTGGGCCGCCAATCGCTGCCACTTCAGTTCGCGGGACCGTGTTCAAACGCGCACCGCTTTACAGAAACACAAGCAGCTCAAGGTCGCAGAGTTTAGCATTGCGGGTTGCGAGCACCAAGAAACCTTGCTGCATTATGCCAACACATGTACCGTACAGCGAGCATAGCACTGTCGTTACCATGCTGGACGCTTCTATTTAGCGACAGCCCAAACGTGCCTCCATCCGCTGCCAAGACTGCTAGAGCATCGCAGTAAGTGAACGCATTGCTCTGAAAGCATTGTCAACACATAATTTTTAATCACAAAAGTCATGAATTTCTCACTAGCTGAATGCGTAAAGTGGTACATGTATTGCTCACGCTGAAGGAAACGTAAGTAAGCCTGTAAACAATCAAACTTGCCTTGTTTGACTATGTGTCTCATTTCAATAATGGAAACAGAAGCACATTTTATACTTTTAAGCAAATTAAGATCAAGCATAGCCTCTGCACTGGAAAAACGTGCCTCACAAATGATCAGCACCACAATGCCAAAACATCCCTTTGTGGCACTGTTGCTGCAAAACAAGCTACCACAAAAGAAAATTTAGAGTTGCCACTCAACAAAGACACAAAGTAGTAGTAATGTCCATTATGGAACTAGCAACAAATTTCAGCCCACCTGATTTTATATTATGTAAGCAACACACCTGTTTTAAATTTTTCATGTTGATTTGCTCGTAACTAAGTTCTGGTAATTTTCCTTACGCAAATAGTCGTAACTATCTTGCTAATTAACATTTTTCATTAAAGCTTGGCACACCTCATTATTTTAGTAGGCATGCAATAAACCTTAATAAGCAAAATCATGCCACAGGATTTAATATGGCTGCCTGTTATATGAAGGTGGCCCTAGTGATAGTGCATACTTTTTTGGTAAATAATTACAATGTTTCTAATATTTACCTGATCTAATTTGTTTTCGCTCATTGCACAAGCTAAATCTTTGTTCACGTCCTTACAAAAAATCAATTTCTTTAAATAAGTGCAATTTGAGCTAGGAGTGTTCGTGCAAGGCATATTATTAATGAAATTTTTAATTACAAAAAGTGAACAATATGACTTGCTTTTTAATGCTCACATGTGCCTAAAAAGATTTACGATGCATACTAATAATCTCTAATAATAATTGCTTTTTAAATATTTTTTTTGCATCACTAAGCCTCACACCTTAAGTTTCTTTAAGCCATCCAGTGAATGCCCGTGGACCTCGTGAAGTAAACCTTGACAGTGTTCTGTTGAAAGCTTGCAAAGGTTATTGCATGTCTCACCTATAAAGAAAGGTGGGACTATTTCAGTCTCCCAGTCTTCAGGAGAAGGGTTATCCTCAGTGGAGTCCACTGTAACGCCAGCACCGTAAGCTGCCTCAAGCTGCTCATCTAGGTCTGCGAGAAGGAAAAGAGTGGCAATGAAACATTTCGGCTCAACTGCGAGAGGGCAGACAGCGTTGCACAAAACTAGATGCCAATCCTCTCAACTGCAACAGCCCAGTGTTGATGGCGCTACTGGAGTAAGACATCATTGCAAGACTCCCAGTACACTACGATGCACTGAGCATTCGATAATTTTCAAGAACGACTTGGAAAACCGGAGAGGGGTGCAATAATACGAACGGGCGAGTTAGTTGGTTTTGCTACACCCTGAAACTTGAGCACACACACACACGAGGACACAGACGAACCTTTTAAGCGTGCGTGTGTGTGTGCTGAAGTTTCAGTGTGGAGTGGATTGGTTTTGACTTGTTTCTGTAGTTATTATCATCACAAGAATCACATCGCAGCACAAAAACTGTTAATGTGTGCTCACAGTGGGCCAACTCGTTTGTCATAATCAGTGACAGTGCCTGCCTGAATGACAGGCAGGCACTGAAGAGAGGAAGGGATTGCTGACACAGCCACCCCCTCTCCACTCCCCCCTTTGGATCCCCCACTGCTTGGAACAGACTACGGGAAGTCACTGCTGTTAAATACTTTTTAAAATCCTTGATTGATTTTTACGAAAACTCTCGAGCTAATGTATATTTATGTGCCGATTTGAACTATGCGATTATTTTTATATTATATCATGTAGTTTTTAGAATGTAAAACTTTCTATGCACAGTCTGGGAACATTTTCTCACGACATTAAAAAGTTGAAATGCCGTTTAGCATATCGGAATAATTTCGAATGAGGACAGAGTTCAATAGAACAAAAATCTACTTTGTAAGAACACATGTACAAAACATATGATAATTTAAAAGTTAACAACTGAGTTCATGTTAGGCTGGAATTTCAATCATGAATGTTCAGCATACTATAACTTTTGTTCAAACAGGCTTAGAACATTCTTAGAAACAGGCTTAGAAATAGAGAAATTCATGAATATTTGAATTCAGTGCACACAAAAAAATGTTAGTGTTATTTAGATGAATTAAGAATCTGAAAAAAAAAACATTTTCGTAGTGTAGTGTCCCTCTTAAGTAGAATTTAGACCTAGCTACAAAGACATTTTGTTGCATCAATGTCAAACTTATTCTTTCCCAGAAGCCTCCATAAAAATTTACAAACACTATGAGGACTGGGCGAAAGAAAATTCCAAAGCACAGGCAACGAAGTGAACAATGCGCGAGTATGGTTGCTTCAGAAAGTGCTTGGGCCATACTCCAGCCAAACTTGCCATTAAAATTTTATTCTTCTTTGAATATTTTTCTCATGAGTTTAGGACTGTTTAACCAATTAAATCTTGCAGTCACACTGTACCCTCAAGTTTTAACAAATTTTCTTATCCCTCAAGCCATCTGCCAATACTAGCACTTGCGCGGAGAAATGAATGTCTCACAATAAATTCGAAAAGTTTGGAACTCTGATGTACTCCATTTTTAACTGCTATTTTCTTTGATATAACCCAACAAGACTGGATTCCACCACTACCGCAAGTAATATAAGTGCTGTGAAGTGCAGGTACTCTTGCAAGAACATACCATTCGTACGTTAATATGCACAGTAAAAAATGCACAGCGAAATTCCAAACCTCCTGTTTCACATTCACAAATTGCTAATGCCAAGCAGAAATGACGAGCTACAACTCATAGTCAAAACACCTTTAAAGAGTGAGGGGGTCCTACAAAAAAAAAAAACACTGCTACGAATGGGACACACTTTCTTCCATGACAGCAAACGCCACAATAGCTGCATTCGTGCACACCAGCATACTTTATTTTTTAATACTTGCCCTGTTGCCATTATTTAAAAAATGTATGTTGTCCACTTGATGCATAGATGCACCTACATGCTAGTTACACGTGTGCTTGTCCTATAAACATTATCTTCCAATTTTAAAATAGCAGTGCTGCTTATTACGATATCTTTGTGGAGTACACTGAACGCACCAATTAAGCGAGGAGTGAAATTGGTTGACCTCCACGAGTAGAGTTCAACTCCCACGCTATGGAGGATAAGCGAAACATGTGACAGTCATGAACCTCGATTTCTACAACTAAAACCAAGAACTAACTGTTGAATATTGTATGCCAGCCAACAGTGCTACTGCTGGCACGGGTAAAGCTTTGCATTAAGGACTTGAACGGCAACAACGACAAAATAGAAACACAAGCAAAAGATTCTCCGGTCACACACTCCAATTTGCATCTTAGGAACAATACTACTTGCATTAACAGCATACTAACAGGCCAATGTAGCGGCCTCCATGTAATACTCTTACTACTGCATGCAACACAATGAATTCCCTTCAAGCAAGCAAAAAGATAAGCTGATATGCTTTGTATGTTTTTTTGCTGTGTACAGTTATTTTATAGTTTATGCAAAAGAAGTTGATTACAACACAGCCGATTGAGGTATGAGCACACACAATAACACTCTGCGAATCGTTACTATAAACACAGAATTCCAACAAACTTTTTTCTTTCATGACACTGTACCTCACAGAGTGGTTGGAAGAGCTAAACTCATCAATGCCCTAACAGTTGACATAGCTATGCAGCCAAAGCTCCACAGTAAGTGACGTCTCCAACAAGCTTTGCAAAGTAAACCTTTCCCAAGAAAAAATGATTGAGAAACCTCCACATCATCAAAACACCTTGAAAACACCCATGTACCAGTAACAATCAATGGAATTTAATGTATGACACTTCCAAAGACACGTTCACCTTGTTTTGAAAATTGCCGACATCCATTTGTAATTCAGTCTCCATGCAAGGCGAAATGAGCACAAATTTTAGCCAACCTACAAGTGGCTGAGCAGTTGTGACAAGACATGAAAAGAGAAGTCAAGAAGCTTTGTCCGATATCTTCAGAAAATCCAAAAACATTAAATTGCCCAACTGCGAACTAAAGGCATTGCCAGTACATCATGCAACAAAGTGGCTAGCAAAAATTTGGAAGCTGTGCCTGAAGCTTACAGCTCTTAGATGATTGTACTCAACAGTGCATTTGTTCCAACAGCAATCAATGCTTTGAAATCTTGTCTATCAGGACTCTAGTGCAGTCGGTGTTCGGGCCACTTATTATGCCTGTGCATAGCCACCTGCTACGCCCCCTCTCAACCTTAAGCTTATTTAACTTCTCCCGCTCATTATGTGACATCAACAAGCAGCACAACATGCTGCTGAATCAAACTAGCATTATTTCCTGGCTCTCAACATAATTTTCATACCTCAGACAAGCTTTACCCTGCAAACAGCTACAGTGGAACCAATGCAAGAGGTACAGCATCGAGAAGCTTCTGCTTGAAGCCGTTTTCAAGCTATCTATGTTACTATCAAGCACCTTCGTCCTCGTCGCAGGGTAGTCCTCCATCGGCGTATTCAGAGTCAACATGCTCTTCGTCTCTCTGCCGATCTTCTCCAGTGCCCACAGCCACTGCGTCGTCTGCTGGGCATGTGCCTTGTGTGCTGGTCACATCGGGTTCATTTGCGTTAAGTCGTTCGACACCATTCTCGGGGCTAACTCTTGGGCCTGTGCCTTGTCCGCTGCTCACGTCGACTTCATTTGCGCCAAGTCGTTCGACACCGTTCTCGGGGCAAGTGCCGACTTGGCCATTCTGCATAAGCTCAGAGTTATCAACTTGCATTGCGCTATCTTCACAGGCGGTGTTCGCTTGTCCATTCCACAGAGTAGCACACGAGACAGCTGACTTGGTGCAGGTGTCGACGGGCTCGCCTATGACACCGCACTGAATGACTGGAGCCTGGTGCTCCTCTTGTTCATTAGCGCAAAGTGAAGACGAGACTGGTGGTTTCATCTTCATGTCCTGCTCTGAAAAGAAATGAAGGGGAGAAAAAAAAAATCGAATTGACACCTTTCCAGTAAGATCAGTTACTCAGAACACATAATGTTCAAATAAACATTTTCTTTTGCTAAACGACAGGACATGCAAACACAGACGTAACAGAGAAGTCAAAACAAACGTCTTTTCTGCGCATGTTCGCACGCCTCGTCTTTAGAGATGCATATGCAACAACTAGGTCAGGTTTGCATTATTACAGTTTCTGTCCTTCACTTTTTCGTGGATGTAGTTGCTATGATTTTGCACACCTTGTTTTCCCATATCCCATTTCTTTTATACCCCCCCCCCCTCCCTCAGTAAGATGGGGGAAGGCCATGTGCAGAAAGGCAAGCATGCTTTATATTCAAAGAAAACAAGACATACAGAAGCTGTAAGGTCAGCCGTCCACGATTGGAAACAAAAATATTATTCTTGAAGATGATTCTCTTTTTCAAAAGCTGAAAGGCCAGCTTTCATGATTAGTAAGCAAAAATATTGTTCTTGCATACGATTTTTTTTCCTCTTGGACTATTATAAGGCTATTCTTCATAGCATTCATTTTGGTCATTTCTCAAGTTTGCATTATTAATAAAGCACACTGCTGTCGAACATACTTGTCATCTGAAGTCTGTGTGACAACCACTGCAGGTGCAAAAGAAAATCACTTCAGACACCGGTCTTGCGATGGTTGACCTGACATGCCCACATAAAGCGATGGCTGGTGTGAGGGCCGTCCCAGCCTGAAGTAACTCGTGAGGCACTTTCTAAACCAGAGAAAGTGTACAGGAAAAATAATTACATACAGAGGATGAAGGTCTTGTCAGGAAATCGATTTAACGACAAAATTAAAATGAAGTGGGGGTTGGAGAAAAGGGTAGGAATAGTTAAAGCTGGCAAGGAGAAGCGAGCACTGCAATTCCTAGAGGACCCCCGACCCCAAACTGAAATGTCAAAACGTTCGTGTTGTTTGAGTCACTGTACACATGGGCACTTCCGACCAGGTCTTAGTGTTAAGTGTTGCCCACGAGGTATATGAATTCGGTAGTGAATTAAGCGCGAGTGCTCATCCGAGTTGGCAGCACCTCGCAACATGGCTACCCGTATGACGTCTGTCGAGACGGCACAAAAAGCATTCAACAAGAGCTATTGTTCCTCACCTCGCTCGCTCTAATCGGGCTGTTCTGAAGATGTTCTAGCTGCTTACACCAAAGATGTTTTTTTTTCTGACAGGACATGTCTTTGACATTACAGTGAATGCTTAAAAGACTTATGTAACACCGAAGCATCTACATCATTACAATTTGGGTTCCGATTTGAAAACTGCACTCTCAATGTCGCCAAAGCCTGAGCACATGTGATTTAGGCACTCTCCCACCTAGATTTTTATTATTTTAAGCGGGTGTTCTGAAAAAACACTAAAACTGGCAACATTTAGCAATGCATATGCTTGATTGATTGATATGTGGGGTTTAACGTCCCAAAACCACCATAAATGCATATGCTTTATTATATATGATACAACTCAGAAGATTCAGTTTCGGGATTAGTAAACGCAAAGCTTCAATTACGGTACAAATGTTGCAAACAGATATCTCGCCATCAGGGGTCCTTTAAAGTCACTATTGCGGTCTTGACAATCGGAACCCAACCAGTAGACGATGACGCTCCTACGTGAGAACTCTTGAAGTCTGCAAATATGCTCACAGATACAGGATTCTCTCATGATTTGTTTAACCTGCAGACTGTTAGTGATGCTATCAGTAAAATGAAGACTTCCTACACATCAGGCAGGTTGACAAGGACTTCCATATCATCATTGAGTGACGTATAAAGCTCAAGTTACAAATGACACATTGTTAAGCTAAAGGTACCTTGAGTTTCATAGCACTTCACATATGAACCTGTTGCCCTCCTCCTGTACTATCTTGATCTCAAGTGGGGGCCAGACAGGCAGATGTGGTCGAGTGGCATGTTGCGCTCTGTATGGCCATGAAGAAAAAAATTTGGGGTGAGGGGGGGGGGGCACTGATCCTTTGTGCCACCCCCTGGCTACACTACTGTACTGGAGAGGTATATTGGTAAGGGGACACCACTGATCGACGCCTTTCTGCTGTATGTGCAAGTCAACGTTTCTTGAGTAGTTTCATACCTCATATGAATAACACATATCGAATGAAATCAAATCAGGTGATAATTAGTTTGCTTTGAGAGGTTGAACAGTACTTACACAAGTTGGCTATTACTGCAGGTCCCATTATCACATTTCAATAGATACCGGCTTATTGCAGTATTCTGGCCAATGAAAAAGCGAATGAAGCGGCCCGCAAGCGACTTCAAAATCAAAATTTCAGGCGAACCTATTTCACTAAATCAGATGCTTCCAAGCTGACTAAAAGGGCTTACTTTCGAAAAGAAGAGGCTCTGGTACCTCCAGATGCGTCATTATGCTTCCCTCCACTCTATCCACCCACATCTGGGAACTAGACTCCCATTCAGAATCCCTCAACATCTGGAAACTCTCTAGCGTCGTCTCGGACTGAACAGTGCTTACGGAAACAACTTACAGTACCACTTCCGTCAAGCAGGAAGTCCATAGTACACTAACTGTGGCTCCATCGAAACTGTAGAACATATTTTGTTTGAGTGCCCAGCCTATGCCGACGAGCATGCACTCTATGAACACTGCATGCATCAGTTAAGCCAAAAAACTTTATCAGGTGACTGTGTCTTGAGCCCTTTAACCTGCTTCATGCCACAGAAGCATGCAATAAAACTTTTATTCACAAATTCAGATAATATCGGACAGCTCGACAAACTGCAGTGGCACCTTCAATAAGTCATTCTGACAGCACACGTCCCCGCCCAAGAAACTAAAAACTGTCTGTATATTTATTTCTTTTAGTCCACAATCCCCTTCCCCACGCACAGTAGCAAGATAGCGATATATACACGCCAGCTAAATTCTCTGCCTTTCATAAAGAGCTCTCTCTCTCTCTTTCTCTCTACATAACGCATGTTTTACTCTGAATTATGAACCTAAGTGAAAGTAACAAATCTGCTCGTTAATTCATTCGGTGTCCTTACAATAGTGCGCTGCTGTGCAACTGCAGTGTTGTGGGATGCACAGTGGAGAAATGAGTGCAGATTAGGACTAGAGCCAAAGTTTCTAAAGGGGGCCTCGTCCCCTTCGTAACTCGAAGACAAGTCGCTGGTCACAAAGTTGGCCCTAGTTTTCCCCAACAGTGTTTAGGCATGCAGGCATCGGAGCGGCCAACACAAATACGCGATTCATCGTCGGCTAGCGGGGCAAATGGGTGAATTTCGACATGCCCAGAACTAGTTGATTTGCATAGCGCAAAAAAAAAAAAAAGTTGGCACGGTAAATTAATGAGCTAACAACATGCACCATATTTAATAGTGAATAAAAGGCTGCCTTCATACGCACGGCACTGAAACGCCGAGTGCCAGAAGATATCGAAGGCACATGGCAAAACAGTGTAAGTAGGGCTGCCTGAACAAGCGTATCAAAGTCAAGTTGTAGACAGTATTAAGGTATACAATACAAAGCCTGTCAGTTATACGCAGGCTCAGCCGTTGAATGGTACACCACAGCCTTCTGGGCACGCACATGTTGAATGACCCGGTATGCGATAACGGAAAACAATTGGAAACGCTACATAACGAAAGTTCTATCACTAACAACGGTTCGTCTTGCGTGCACAGTGCATAACGAAGTTCACGAATAAGAGAACGCGCTTAGCAAGGTATGAAACACGCACGAAACGATGGCTTCAGTCCGCGGGATTCCTGGGTCAGCAGTCACTGCGCTTGCACTCCGAAAACCCGGCCTCCAGCCATGTTCTGTGCCCCAGCTACAAAACACGCCGACCGCGCTGCCAGCCTGCCCAACGCTTCCTAGAATTCTCTTGCCTGCCGGATTATCAGCGGTCACTTGGCAAGCGGTGGTCGTCGGAACTACGGTGGTGGCGCTACTCAAGTAGGGGTGCCTTTAAATAGGTTTTTACGTTTTTGGAGCTTATATGCAACACAAAGAACGTAAAAAAAGTTTTTAAAAAGCGTAAACGTAATTATAATTAACCCTATGTAAGTTACATTGTCATTCAGCAAGCAACTTTTACAATACAAGACATAGCCTTTAAAGTTAGTAGCAAATGCCAAAACTGCCAATCTCAAAGGCCAAGCACAAAGACCCTTACTCATACGTAGGCAGCGCCTTCATAGATGACGGGTGTTTCACGCTCATTTGACAGGCAAGGAAACTCTACACGCGGCGGACGCTTGTTCTGCTCATGGCTCGTTTCCAGGAGTAGCACGGCTCGTTTCCAGTAGCTTGCATTGCGCGGAAAACCAGTTGAGTTTGAATTAGGTAAATGCTAGCACCGTTGATGCGAAAATCGACACGTAAAATGTGAAAAGCTGAAGCTAGCTCGACAGATGCGGTTGTTGCATCGATTTGTGTGCTCGAGTAATCGCGACCACGCTTGCGCCAGTATTAATCTTAGAGGCCACATAGCTTGTTTGGATGATTGAATCCACGCTATGCTTCCCCCCCCCCCCCGCCAACCACACACACACACAAAACTATCATGGAACTCTCGAAGGAGTGAGTGAAAAAAACTTTATTGACGATACAGCATAGAGAGTGGAAACTTACAGTAATCGGCCTGTCCCTAATCCGAACAGCAACTAGAGTGGAGCTCGTCGAAATCTGAAGTGGTGGTCCTCGGCCTCCGAAGTGGCCCACCGCGCGCCAGTAGGCGTCGGTCGCAGAGGCCAGTATTGGCGTGTTTATATCCCCCCCTTCCTTTTTTTTTTTTTTTTTGAGAAGGGGGTAGTGGGGGTGGAGGGAGCATCTGTGCGTTATCTCACCAGATTGTGCTTGTTCCGCACCTGTCTCCGCCTGCTTGGCCAGCAAAATCATGGCATGTGCCTCGCCGACGCGGGCGCGCATGGGCAGACTATCTACGCGGAAAAGGCCCATTCTGACAGCGTGGTTATACTAGCAATGTAGATGCGCAAATTTTGTGGCAGTAAAGAAACTTCTTAATCAGCCTCGCTCAATCAGAAACCCGAAGGCCACCCACAACGATGCATTATTTTTTTTTAAATATTGTTTTACCTTTTGGCCTTCGCACAAATAAAGTTTTCACCGCCACAAGAAGTTCAATAACCCGACAGAAAGACCTCTTTATTGAAAAGCACAAAATTTGGCCGGCATGTGCAAATCGCTAACTTGCTACTCCGCGTGGAGAACGCGATTGAAAGTAGGGATAGAGAGAGAGAGAAAAAAAGACCATATGTAAAGATAGAAGATATAACAAAATATAAAGAGGAAAGTTCGAATCATTTGTACATTGGGTGAGGACGTGCGCTAATAGTTTCCGATTACGTGGTTTCAGGGCATAGCTGTAGTTTGTCGAGCTGACTGATACTGTCCAAATATGTTAAAGGGACACTAAAGTCAATTGACAATTTAAGTCAGAGTGAAAGCTCAACGCATGACAACCTCTAATAAAAAACAACATTATCAACAGCAGTGCCCTACTTACAGATAAATTATTGTAAATGCACGGGAACACATACGCCGCCAGTATTCGCAAAATAGTCCCAATGAAGTAAGACTTACCGCCTACAATCAATCACTAGTAATCAATCTAGCTGCACTAAATGAAGGACCTTCCGTGTATCAAGGGACGTAATAAAATGCTGCTTGTTCGTTTCTGTTTTATTCATAGAAAAAAGAACCGCCAAACGTTACTGTGGAGAATGGCGCGAGTGGTTCAAAAGTTTCATTTTGACCTGGTTAAACTGGACAGGTCGAGCAATCTAGAGAGGCCAAGTTAAACAAGCACGCTTACTGTCTCGGAGGCCATAGCAGAAAATCGTACAATGGCCGTTGTTGCTGCTGTGGCTCCCGCTACTTTCGTTTTGCTGCTATTAGTGTCGGCGGCCACGCAGTAAAGCCGGGCAACATCGTGTACGGCAACCACGGAGGAAGGAAAAAGGTTTCCTTTTCCTTCCTCCGTGACGGCAACAGTGACGTGACAGGTTACACTTAAGGCGGGTAATTTGAAGTATGCTAACACAATGCGGACCATTAAAACATGATTTTACTTGAAAATAAGCGCTTCCTTGGTACAACAGTAGCACTGCGAGGTTTCTGGACCGCTGTTTCAGCAATAAACATCGACTTAGACAGACAGACAGACAGACAGACAGACAGACAGACAGACAGACAGACAGACAGACAGACAGACAGACAGACAGACAGACAGACAGACAGACAGACAGACAGACAGACAGACAGACAGACAGACAGACAGAGAACTTTATTTGATCCAGAGAAGCTTCGCGTGAACCCTTATCGGGGACCCGCGGGAACCCCGGGCCGCGTACAAGTTGGGGCTGGGAGCTTGGTACACCGTGATGTTCCGCTCTTTCTAGAACCCTCTGAATTGCCTGGAGTTGCTATAGTCCAAATTTCCGAAGCCCTTCACTACGGCGTTTCACATAATCGTAATAGATGCGAATCAGCTCTTTGACAAGCCTGTGTAACGCTGTCCGTCCGTGTCTCTGCGCCAACGCACCACACCGCGCTCCCCTCGCCGTAGTGGCTGGAACCACAATTTCCTAAACATGACTGGAACTATACCAAGTAGGTCAAATCGCAGCTGCGCGTTTGGTCTCCCTCATCCGCAGCAGCTGCTGGCTCCTCCGCCAGCTCGCAACACACTTCTCCCTCGCTTCACCCTCTCCACCACCCGTAGTGCTCGACCGCACGTCCAGTGGAAACACTAGAGAGATTTAGTTGCCCAAAAGAGATTTACCGGTAGGACGCAGCCTGCTGCCATAGCAAATGGCTAGCAGGCTGCGTCGGTGCGGTTGTTGCGGACGCGTGTCTATAGAATATGAATATCTTCTAGTTCACTATACGCATGACTAAACCTGTCTATTATTTCTGCTCGTTTATATGCGATGGATCTTACACGAAATCTAACCCGCCTCCCGTGTCCCTGCATTTCATACATCCGTTTACACGAATAAACGCTACACCGAGTTTCGCTTCGAACCGTTCTTCCAGCACCCGCTTCGACGCCCGTTTCAACAATGTCAACGCCGTGCGCACCGCTGCTGCTTTGCGTTCAATCGGGGTTCCCTTCGGGGAGATTGTTCATAATTGTTCATTGTTTTGGGACTTAAAACATGCCCAACACATTTATTCGCCTATATGCACAAGTTACTGAAAATCGAGGGGAAAGGCCCACAAGAAAAGTTGGACCTAGTCAATCGAGAGGCTGCATCCCCGGAGTGCTTTAGGTCACCTGGATTGAAGCGCTTTCACTGTCACAAGAATATCGGGACCACGAGACTGCCTGCAGTTCCCGAAAGGTAACGGAAACGCTGTTGCGTTTTCGCGAGGTTACTGGACTAATTAGCCGTTTGTGATATGAAACGCGGAACTGTTACGTCGGCGGAAAATAGTGACATTTCTTTCCTCCTCCTTAAATTTCTATTCCCATTTCCCCTTGCTCAGTGAAAGCTAGCCTACCGGGCTTAGCCCATATTTTTTTTCCTGCCCTTTTCCCATTCTGATTCGCCCTCTTTATTTATTAGAAGCGAAACAGCCTATGGCGGAATTCAATCCGGTGTGCGGCGTAACCACCCTTACTGCCCATGTACTTCCCCCCCCTCTCCTCCCTTGGCATCCACATCCCTACAGCGCATGCGCGTCCCCTCCACCTGTGTCTCACCATCTACGCGCCTTCACCTCTCTCTTCTAGGAAAGGCAGGCCCGAACGCACTAGCGCATACGGGCCTGCGTAAGTGGATATGTCCTCCTCTCTCACCAATCACGTGGTGGTGTCGGGGAACGAGATTCTGAAGACGCGTGATGAACCCACGTGCTCCAGCGCGGCGTGCTCCAACAAGAGTTCGGGACAAGTAACAGCAACAGACTGAACTACAGTGAATTCCTGGTGTGCTCCACTTGCTGGCCAGGACGCAGTACATCGAGCAAGGTGCCCGTGACGAACGGAACTTTAAGTCGATCCATGCGCTGCTTCGCATGCTGCTCATGGTTCTCTTCAGTGCGAGATGGTGTAACTTTTATTTATTTATTTGTTTTGCACGTTGTAACGGGCCCTATACAGACACGAAACAGTCGTATACTGCATGTACACAAGCGGTCTTCTTGTCACGTCCATTCTTCCGCAGAGTTCGAAATAGACCAGCGTGATTTCGACACGTATTTAGGGATGAAACAAAGAATGAAGGCTTGAAGAAAGGGACCTTCATTCATTCATTCATTCATTCATTCATTCATCTATTCTAAACACGGGTTTGAGGGTTGACAGGTACTTCCGCCAACCCTTAAAGAATGCAAGACACCACATTAATGGAACACGTCAAACACTTCGCTTTTATTTGCGTAGCGTGTAATAATTTCAACATTATACATAGTAGCATGATTAGCCCTCCTGCGTGTGTTTTCTTTAACGGTACATTCGCGTGTAACACCGTCCTTCCGTAACAACCCTCTCGGATCTTGAGTGTTCGACGAGAGGCTCCCTTCCCAACAAGAACAACACCGAAATCACATAAAGTCACTGCTCTATCACATAGCCTACATATAGCCACGTACGTTGAACACGTATCTTTTAATGTGGTACATACACACACACACACCTTTTTTTTTTCGCTCATGTCAACATCTCACAGTGGTCAACATAACTTCGCGACAACGACATAACAACGCACGGCTGTGGGTGCGGCTACGTTATAAACGGCAGCTGACTTCCGAGAGGGACACTCAGAAAAACAAAAAAAGGTTCAGCTGATTGAATTAGCTTTGCACGATGCGAGGCCCCAACAAAAAA